TGAGGGATCATCATAGTTTCCTTGCTGACAATATTGTTACAGGGATTTCTCCGCAATGCATGTCAGTAGGTTTCTTTCTATTTTTATTCCTAAGGATTTATCCTAAAGATTTTCTTAATCATCATTACTGGCAATACTATTATAGGGATTTCTTCGCAGTATGTGTCAGTAGGGTAGAGTACATCAAACGGGCACAAAATCTATCACCTACATGTTATAAACCTACCTGTGTTCCACATGATGGTCATGAATAGTGTCTACATCGTTGGTACACTAGTACCATTCCTACATCGTTGTCACACTAGTACCATTTCTACATCGTTGACATACTAGTACCATTTCTACATCGTTGGTACACTCGTACCGTTTCTAAAGTTGTGACATCCTATCTTTTCCTATATCTTTCATCATATTATGGCATCTATTACAATCTTTCGATACCAAATGTACTAAATTTATAAAATACATATACGGTATAAATCATATAATTTATCTTTCTAATATTTCATCTAACACATAACATCTTTGCACATAAGCACATATAGTATTCAAATATCTAAATACTTCATTATCTATGTGTAACATGAAAGTAACTATGCACTCACCTGACTTATGTGGGTGACTGGAGAATTTGGCAACGCTCCGTCAAACTCCTTGACTTTTCTTCTGACGTGACCTAGATACGAATATCACTAAGTCTTTGTCTGATTATTAACTAATGATAATGGTAGTCTAGATTCCTCACTAATCCCAATGAATATTGAGAGTTGTATCAAATAAGGATCATCCAGGCAGGACAGTTGGGAGGTTGGATCATTTCGGTGTATAGCCTTTCTAAAATCCGACAACCAAGCCAACATGACCATTCTAGACACCTCTCCAGTAAATAGATCAATTAGTATAATTACATGAAAGTACTAACAAATCTTATTATAGGTTCATAACAATGATTAATGAATATAAATATAAGTTACACTTAAAGAACGAGAGTGTAGCTTAACTTACATGGATTCTTCCCAACCAAAGTCCGAAAAATCACACTCGTAGGGCTCCTACCGAATGGCTACTATATAGTTGAATACCTCAAGGGTTATAGAGCTTCACCGCAGACTAAAAACAATGGAAATTTGGGTCTAAGTTTGAGAGAAACTTGGGATATTGAACTTGAGAATTGTGGAGAGAATGAGGCAAGGCAGCTATTTATAGGACCACAAATGGACATGAGCCTTGTGCAGATGGAGTGTGCGTCGCGCGCATTAGGTGGCGTCTCCATAGTCAATTTGTTTCGAGTCAGCTTCTATGTGGTCCGCGTTTTCACCTTCTAGAAGCACACGTCGCGCACCCGGCACGCACCGCCTGCAACGTAAAACGCAGATTTTGTAAATTCCGTAACTTCTTTATAACATCCCAAAAACCTAGGCAAAATTTTTATTTTTAAAACCATTCCAAATATCTATTAATATTACAAACCAATTTCTCAAAAGTCACTGTCATAAATCAGAGTATCCCAAATCATAAAAACACATAAAGTCCAGAGATGAGTGCACGATCAAGAATCCACCTTTCCTCTATCCTCTGAAGTACCTGAAACCATAAACATCAAAATGTATGCCAAAGCTTAGTGAGTTCCCTAAAATACCCCACACAATAGAACATAAACAATCATGAATGTTGGGTCCACAGTCATCGGACTGGATTACCCTCGGGTCCACAATCATTGGACTAAATTACCCCTGGCCCACAGTCAACATAATAGATTGCCTCGACCTAATCAGTCATCGGACTGGAATACCCCAGTCTATTGGCTTACGCATATAGTAGTAAAGCCTCAACCCAAACCGCAATATGTCGACATATTCAACAGATATATCATAGAATAGCAACAAATATACATGCAAATCTAATAGATCTCTATAACATAAAAACAACCTATATACAAGGATACATAACCTAGTGAGCTGGTATTGGTACCTTCAACCTACAAATACAGTGAGGAAAACTCACATTATAGTCTGAAAAAGATAGTTGAACAAATCAGTGCTCCAAATATTGCCTCTACTGATCACCTATATAATTAATAGGGACTCAAGCTTCAATTTACTACTCAAAATACCGCAAATGACCTAAATTTAAACTTAGTCAAAGTCAACAATCAACGTCAAAGTCAACTCCAGCTAGTCGTCACACAGTGGCCACCCATGGCCACATCGTGGCTGCTAAACGATAAAGCAGACGGGTTACAACCCAGTCGCCACACCGTGACAACCTCAGGCCACGCCGTAGGGATTGATCTGGACAACTTAAGCTATTAAGTCATTTTCCCATGACTTCAGGAGCTCCAAACCTCGGATCTGGTCCTTTCCATGATTTGGATGGATAATGTTTCCAACTTTATCCCTCAAAACATCCCCAAAAAGTCAAGATACAAAACCCTAGATACTTAAAGATGGATAAATGCATCAAGACACCTATTAAGCACCCAACCTCTAGAGTTGCTCATCTATAGTTCCCAGAAGAGTTTCTTACTCCCAACAAGCATTAAAAACCACAACTTTATGGATATGCATGTCCTTTCCATTTTAGGTCAAAATCATGGAAATAAAAGGCTTAAACTTGAGCATAGGACCAAAAACTACCTAGATCTTCAGATCTGGAACATGTGACATAGGAATGATCCCATGGATCCATAAAGTTGCTAGCTTTATAAGATCCAACCTTCCAATTCCTCTCATCATGAAGATATGGGGACAAAATAACTAGATCTAGACATATAAAGCACAAATATTAGATTTTAAGGACTTACAAGAGTCCTGAAATGTGCTCAAGGTATATAAGAAGAGTTGCTTGTTGGAACTAAGCTCAAGATGCCCTTCCTCTTCTTCAAAACAATACCAAAACACACATACAAGATCTAGGGTAAGCAATGGACGCTAGGGTTTTCTCTTGGAGGTTAAGGGAGAATGAATGAGGCTGAGGGTGGGCAACCCTAGCCATCACATTCCCTTAAATATGGTTCAAACCCCAAATTAGGGTTTGTCACCAAACAACTTCTCTGTAACCTTTAGAAAAAATGAGATTTTAATAAGTTAGGATTTCTAACTTTTTAAAACTCCTTAATTCTAAATTTTTGGGTTATTAAAGACACATACCCTTGAAACATGTATAAGCTAAGCCAAATACTTAAAAAACATAACTTATTGACTTATTTACTTTTACAACCACAAAATCTAATCCTAATACTTCTAAACAAACTTATTTCTCATCATCGTGAATCAATAATTCTTTTTGGCTAAATGTCATTTTGAAGTTCAAAAATGAAATCTCAAACACCCTCCTAATATCAAGGTTTCAATCAAAGGGGACAAGAAGCAAACTCATTTTAATGTTTAATTAGGATATCATATATGGGAAGCTCCCTCCTATATCCTTGTAAATCATGTATCTAACTGACAGTTAGGCTACCAATTTGTTAAAGATACTTGGATAGTTGAAAATTGATGCAACCCAAAGAAAAGATGATCGTTATGAATGCTATAATATGTTAAATGGAAGGGACAATGACTTAAAAGGGTAATATACTTTTCATTTTGTACACATTTGGTCATTAAGTTTTTTTTCGTCCACATTTGCCCCTTCAACTTATTTAATCGTATACATTCAGTTCTTATGACCGATTATTCCAGATAAAAAAAATTACTTAATAGAGTAATATATTTCTCACTTTGTACACATTTAGTCCTTAATTTTTTTTTTTGCACATTTACTCCTTAATATTTTTTTGTTGCAAACTAAGTCATTTTTTTTGTTTTTTGTTTTTTGTTTTTTGGTTTTTTTACACATTTAATACTTATGACAAGTTTCTTTAGGTTTTTCTCACGACCTACTATTATTAATGAGGTATTCAAGGTTGTTGATGATTATGGCCACCACGACCTCAGCTGTTTGGTTCTTTAGGTCTTATGTTTTAAACGTCATAACTTCATCATATGATCTCGACTATTAACGATCTTTATGTCCATAATTAAGTCTACTTTTCGTTTATATTACTTTGGTTAAAAAGTAATATAATTTTACTTATAATCTTTATATACACGTGTTCTTTATGAATGTATGTATGAATATTTTTTTAATATAAATCGTAAGTAAAAGTATATTATTTTTTACATGAGTAATTTAAAGAAAAATTGTAATAGACACAAATATAAACGTGTAGATATAAAGATCGTTGAAATCTAAGATCATATGAAGAAGTTACGACATTGAGAAGACAAGACGTAAACACCAAACAATCGAGGCCGCAGTAGCTATAAGCATGAACAACCCCGGACACCTCCTTAATAATTGTCTTATATAGGATGTCTTGATAAAAAAACTTAAAGAAAACGTTCATAATTACAAAATGTATACAAAAACAACACTAACTTATTTTACAACAAAAAAAATATTAAGGACTAAATGTGAAAAAAAAAAAAAAAACATTAAAGATTAAACATGCACAAAGTAAAAAAAATATATTATCCTATTAAATTATTTTTTTTTCATGCTTACCTACAGTGGTTAGACATAATGACTGAATGTACAATTTTTTTTTCGTGCTTACCTAGAGTGGTTAGATATAATGATTGAATGTACAGTTAAATAAGTTAAAGGGACAAATGTTGATGAAAAAAAATCTCTAATCAAATATGTATAAATCAAAAAGTATATTAATCAAATGAAAATATGATAAATTAAAATTGATGAATGACGATGAATATTCAATTTGATGTTTTCAACGAGATAATCTTAATACAATAAAACAAATTAGTTTATAATTTATGTATAAATATCGATATAGATTAAAATATTATAAGAAACGTCAATATTATGTTTACTTTTATTCATCTTGGAATTGTATGACCATGCACTGTTCGCAATAGGACAATTCCATATTCAAAAAGAACATGAAGGAAAATTATCACTACCGAAACAACAAATCATAAATAAATGGAAAACATAAAACTTGATATCACTCCTCGTCTGGGATTAAGACAACCGAACCCGATGTTTTTCGACTCTCAATAGCAATATGAGCTTGGCTTGCTTGAGACAGAAGATACTTGTGATTAACACGAACCCTCAACACACCCCTTGCAACATTATCAAACAACTCTTCAGCAGCTAAAAGCAACTCCTCTCGATTATCTTCTGTGTATTCCCCAACTGATGAAAACGTATAGTAGAAGGATTTGGACGCAAGTTGAGCAACAGACAACGGTTGTGGTTCACCTGACGCCATCCCGAAAAGCACCATGTATCCACGTTTCTTTAAGCAAGCTATTGATCCCTTCATTTCAAAACGCACAAACGCCTCTCGTCGTTAGTTTCATTTAGAAACAGGAAAACACAAATCATAAAGCATTAATTAAATAATTACGTACATCAAAGGTGTCTTTCCCAACAGAATCGTAGACTACTTCCACCCCTTTGCCCGATGTTATCTCCATCACACAATCCACAAAGTTCTCATCTTTGAGAAGAATCACATGGTGACATCCATCTTCTTTGGCCTGTAAAGCCTTCTGCTTAGTCGACACTGTTCCGATAACCGTGGCTCCAATCGCACTCGCCCATTGACAAACTAAATTTCCGACCCCACCTGCTGCTGCATGTACCAGGATCGTATGTCCACGTTCAACCTATCAAAATCGTTGTTAAATTCGAATTTTCAGTTAAGCAACTTCTATCATCTATTGATCTAAAGATACATAAATGATAAATCAAGATTTGTGTTACCTTAAAGCCTTTATGCAGCAATACATGTGCAGTGAGTCCTTTGAAAATGACGGCAGCTGCTTCAACGGGATCAACAGAAGAAGGAACAGGCACTACTTGATCTGCCCGAAGTATTCTCTCTTGGGCATAAGAACCGACCTGCAAGCTAGCGTACGCTACAACATCTCCAACTTTGCAGCTTGTTACTCCTGGACCTACAGCTGTTATAACTCCAGCGCCTTCCATGCCTGGAATATATGGCAAGGGTGGAGCACGATTGTGCAGACCTTGACGCATATACACATCCAAAAAATTTAGACCAATTGCCTTTTGCTTCAACCTGATCTCTCCCTCTTTTGGAACTCGGACTTGTATGTCTTCCCATTTCAAGACCTATAACACAAATTATCGCCATGATTAGTCTGAATTGAAAGAAAGAAAGAAACAACGTCAAGAAGGTGATGACCTCAGGGCCACCGTGTTTATGAACTGTAATTGCTTTGACCATTGTCTTTGTGTTGTGTTTGGGTTTAGTAGGATATGTGGATTGATTAATGGAAATTATTTCGACCGTTCCGTCCGTTTTATAGGCCATCTTTTTATGGGCATAAGTTGTCTTTTCCACTTTGACTTGGATCGATCTCATTCTTGAATAAAGAAAAGGGCAATCACTATAAAGTGAATTGGGAAATCACAAATTAAGCACTGTTAAGAGTCCATTCATTTGCAGAAATAGAAAAATTTAATCTAATAAGAAGTTGCATACCTCTTTCATTTCTTTTAGTTATGCACTTCTATTATTACTAATTTTAATTCGTAAAATTTTGTTCACACATAATGTTGGGAACTCGTATGACAAGGATGAATGTTATGCAAACTCCTTTATCATAAGGGTAAAGTTTCTAAAAGCTCTTTGAATAGCGGTGAAATGCCAATCGAACATCTTGAAATTTGTGGTTATAATGATATATGGTCACACTACAAGAAATTTGGGCAACATTGGTGACACCTTGTCGGATACGTTTGATGTTACCGCTATAGTCAATAGCTTTGCTAAAGACTCAACCTAGTGCCAAACAGTCCCGATCTATGTGCTTCCATTAAAATCAATCCAAGCCCTCCATCTTCAGCGATTCAACGATGAAGCTGCATTCTCGTAACACGAATAGTAGCGTCATTAATAGCGTAGATAGGATTTATATCTTTCAAACTCTCCAATGGATTTAAACTTTGTCTTGTAAACCCATTTTGAGTGTATAGGTCGCTTTCCTTTTGGCAATTCTTCCAAATTCCACGTCCCATTCTTTTCAAGAGCCTTTATTTCTTGATGCATGGAATTCCGCCATTCCTCATCCTATGCAGCTTGTTCAAAAGAACTTCTCTTGATTAGAACTTAATGTCGTTAAAAAAGCTTTTTGAGAATGAGAAAATTTATCATATGAAACGAAATGAGAAATGGGGTGTACCGTCGAGTTTGCTTGACTGGAGCCGGATTGTGAGTTGGTGACCGAAGAGGGGAGATTCACAATGTATTCATTGAGACGAGCCGGTTGTATTCGTACGCTTTTGCTTCTTGGTTACGGTTCTTCGTGAAGAAATACGTGATCTTATTGGATTTCTTGATCGAAAATGGGGCTGTCATTTTCAAAAGAATCATCCTCATGTTGAGCATTGTTTTCTTCTTCAGTTATTGTATCTTCTAATGTGGTGCTAGGACAATCTTGTGATGAATCATCAAAACAATTGTTTTGTTCACCATCGTCCAAGTTGGAGTTAGTGGACTCAAAATGAACTTTGGTTGGTTCATCTTTGCTGCAATCAAAGCTTCTAGGAATGTGCTTGAAGGGAAAATTGTCTTCAAGAAATAATACGTCTTGGCTCACAATGATTTTTTTTACTATTAATGACATAAATTTTGTATCCCTTTGTTCCTTGCAGGTAACCCAAAAAAACTCCAGGTTTCCCTTTTTCTTCAAAATTTTCTCCTCCGGTGTTGATGTTTTTAAAATAAGCTAAGCATCCGAAGACTCTCAAATGCTCATATGTCACACCCCCAAACCGAATTGGCGGAAAAATTCGGGGGTGGAGGAAGTCATGTCTAGTATCGTAACAATGCACAATAGTAAAACAAGCAACAAAATCCGTTGCATTAATAATATATTTAAATACATGTGTGTTCTGTGTACAATTATAAGACACCAAAAATTGTATATCAAAATAAAAGACGAGTCTTGAACATGCTCCATCTTCTCAAAATCTGGTCCAGTGTACCTATCTACTGGTGACCTGAGAATACAAGTTATTTTGAAAAAAGAGTATCAACATAAAAGTTGAGTGAGTGCATAAGTATTTTATGTCAAAAGTTTACATTTGTTTCATGAAAATGTTTGTAAGTGTTTTGATGTAAATGTGTGTATACTTCCTAGAAAATCCTATATTTTCTACTAAAATGAAAAGTAGTCTTCTACCAAGACTCAACTGTTTTGTATGTTTGTTCTTTCGTAAAAATGTATGTTTTTCCAAGTTTATGACTGTCTTTACTTAGAAAAATAGTTTTCATTTCTCAATGTGAGATTATCACTGTAGAATGTAATGGAAAACGAAGATGTACAGGAGTGTTGTGTAAAATACTTTACTGAAGCACTAACTACCTTAAAACCAAATTGTTAATTAAGATAAAAATGTAATTAGGTTATAACCATGCTTGATTGACTAGTATAAAACACAACATTCTTCAAACGTTGAAAATGGCATGACATTTATCACCCGTAGACCTGCAGGTCCCATTATAGCTAACAACAAGGTGTAGGATGGTCAATCCCACATAGATCTATACACAAACTCATGCTCTCCCTCTAGGAGACTCTGGTTACAAAACATGACACAATAAGTATGTCACATGCCCGAACCAGACAGCGGAAACGTCTGAGGGCTCGTATGACTTAAATTTAAATATCATCACAATGAATATACATGAAACATAACATAAACGTCACCATGTATTAATACATTACAACTGACCTTATTCACATCAAGTACATTGTTTACATGACATATTCTGAAACATAAATTGTCTGAGGTTTAACATTACAAAAAAGATATTTCCCGAAACAAACTTGGAGGTTCTTTAGTCTAACGATTTCCTAAGAATACAAGTTATTTTGAAAATGTCAACATATATAATGTTGGTGAGTTCATAAGCATTTTTGATATAAAACTAGTTTGTATTGTTTGTAAAACCCAAAAAATCCGACATTTTCGGTTCCTGTCTACTGATAAACTGAGAATACAAGTTATTTTGATAGAGTTTATTAGCTTTAAACTAGTGAGTTCATAAGCATTTTAGTGTCATCGTTTGTATGAAAATGTTTGTAAGTGTTTGATGTATAAGTTTGTAAATGCTTGTAGTAAATGTTCGTATCGCCTAGAAAATCCTATATTTTCTACTAAACGTAGCCTTCTAGCAAGGCATCAAATGTTCTGTATGTTTGTTTTTGTAAGAGTGTGTATTTTCCCAAGTATGACTATCATTAACAAAAAATATAGTATCTACATTACCGTATATGTGAGAATATCAGAATCTGAATGTAAAAGGGGAAATAATAATAGTACTGTAGTGTTTATTATGTTAACCACTGTCGTACCATCTACCTTAAACCAATTGTTATTTAAGGCATAATGTGAAGTGGTTGCACCATACTATCAACTAATAACACGATGATGAAAGACGTCGGAAGAAATGACATTTAGCACCCGTAGAATTGCAAGTCCCACTGTAGCAAACAACAAGGTGTAGCATAGTCAATCCAGTATAGATCTATACCCAAATTCACACTCTCCCTCTAGGAGATTCTGGATACAAATCGAGCCATGACAGTGATGTCATTCCCCAAACAATGGTTCACATTTATGTTATTGTATACTTGTATATGTACTGTATGTATCAAAGTATTATATGTTCTCTCTGTCTAGTATATAGTATGTTCTGACTTATGTATGAACTGACTCTTTGTATGCTTCATTGTACTAGAAGTAATGAGTAGTATATTCCTAAACTATACCTATTATAGTTTACTAGTACAATTGTTCGTATAACTGAATGTATTAAACTGAGATAAATGCCTTTATGTCTATACATATACACATAATATATAACTAAGGATCAAACGACACTCGGACAAACAACAGGGTACTCTAAGTCCACAATAAACAAGGAACAAGAAGTATAGTGTGTTATTAGTCCTAAGTCCTTCAAACCTTACTTATATAACTGTAAATGTATTATACATGGTTTAGATAATATATAAGTTTAAAAACAAAAAGTTTCATAAAACCATTCGAAGAGTTTGATAATAAATATTGATGACTTGATGTCATTATATGAAACGATTTGGCATATAAAAACAAGTTTGATAAAGAGTTTAACACGTAAAACAAGTTTGATAAACAGTTTGAAGTAGTTTGTTTGATAAAATAGCTGAAAGTATAGTAAATCCATTTGTTTGATAGTTATTAATCACATGTGATTGATATAATAACTATAATGATTCAACTTGTATTCTCCCCCATAAAAGCATTTAAAAACATTTAAAAGGTTGATTAAGGGGGTATGAACTTACATGTAGTGAGTAATGTGACTATAAGATTGCTTTTAGGAAGTTGAGTGTCAATTCCAGACTTAAGAACAAAAGAATCCTATTAACCATATAATGACATAATATATGTATACAATTAGAGCTTATAACAACTAATTATTGAATAGGAACTGCCTTAGGGACTAGTATACACTTATATTGAAGTGTTACAACCTTGTATGATTGTATATAAGGGGTGTATGGCTATACAAGGGAGTATATGGTCAAATTACACAATATTTGTGTGTGTGCGGCCACCGTGGGTGTGCAGCCGCACACTCCCTATGAAATGTGCCAAAACGTATTTTAAGGCTTTAGGACTTTTCAAGGAAGGTTTCTTACTTCATGCTTTATCCTTATATGGGGTTCGTTGCCATTTTTGGACCTAAAAAGGGTGTGTATGGTTGCACATGGTGTGTGCGGCCGTACACATGGTGTGTGTGGCCGTACACACTTGAAGATCATAAGAAATGGCATTTTTCATGCATAATTTCAAGGGCCCTTAGCTTATATCAAGCTATTGCAAGTGTATACTCAATTTAGAGGCTTAGAAGTGTAGTTAAAGTCCAAAAAGTTTTGTAGGTGTTCTTGGTATTCTTGGAGATCTAACACCAAACAGGTGATCTCATGGATCAAATCAAAGGGGAAGGCTAGTTAAGGTCATGTATTAGAAAATCGAATGATGAATCACTTACTTGATTGAAGATTGAAGTGAAAAGTTGGATGATACTTGAGAGGATTTCGAGTTCTAGCCTTGAAGAAGTGGAAAAGTGTTCAAAAAATGACCAAGTGTTGAATATATTGGTGGGAGTGTGAGGCTGGGATGGGTGTGTGGCCGCACACACTTATGTGTGGTCGTATACTCAAGTGTGTGGTTGCAAACTCCATATGTTGAAGTATTTGGCCCGAGTTTGCTAGTTATGCATCGAGTTATCCCATTTCTAGGCTCCTACCATGATTGTACTAGGTTTAGAACATTCAAATATACCCTAAACAGTGCTAAAACGATTGC